TTTGAAAATGAAAATTGTGCTAATTTTGGCTATAACTCTTCATTATTGCACTTTATTTACATTGTACATACAGTATTCTACTACCGTATAGTGGGAAATTTTGGAGGGACTAAAATTTGGCGAATTGCTAAATTTTGGTGATTGGCGGATTTTAATTTGGCGAATTGGTGGCCACGTGCATTGAGCATGCGTATAATGGCTCAAAATGGCGGATTTAATTTTGGCGAATGGCTATCAAAACGCCAAATTTGCCAAATTTAATTCCCTCCAAAATTTCCCGCTATACGGTATTTTCTCCTATGTACATGTAGGATGCTGAAGGTAGTAGTCAACATGTTAAACAGTTCCAATGTGTACCTGATTTTGCCGTTGGTCTTTTGGATGTGAGAGAACAAGTAGAGAAATGTCAGAGGAACTCTGATGACAAACCAATAGTGATACACTGAAGGTTAGTAAATGTACATTGTATACACCTCTAGTATTTGAATTTGTGTAGATTGTGAGTATAGCACTGTATTTAGCAAAGACCAGTTTTACATGTACACTATATTAGAGGATCAGATTTATGTGTACATACATGTGCTTGCATTTGTTCACCATTTTGTCTGCAATAATTCTCTTCTCTCTCTCTCTCTCACTCTCTGACTCGTTTTGCCTTTTATGCATGCCTATGTGTACTGATATTTCATTTCATTTTATTTATCATTTTATTTGTCTGTGAAGAATGATCGCATTGCCAAACTCACTTAACAGGCTATCTTCCTATTATTGAAATGAAATAATCTAATTGCTTTAGTGTAGGGTATTTTACCATGGCTAACAAATCATTTAACTTCTTTCCTGCACATTGATTTCCATTGACTCTTAGTTCATTGACAACTCCATATGATCCACGACCCAACACTTTCCTTGTCACCCTTACTCTTTGTAGTATCAGAGGTTGAAGCTTCACCTGTAACTCTGCTGCTATTTTGTGTCTGATAACTCTGATTATGTTCACACTACTGCAGTTCATTCAATCATTCATTTCATTTATGGGTGGGGCACATCTGGTTAATTTACATCTAGATTTATTATTAGCATTATTATAGGCTTTTTAAAGCACACTACTTTTTCTTTATTTTTAAGCTAAGTTTTTGCACATCATTTATTAATCAAATTGTACAGAATAAGTATAAAAATTTGCCCTATCACATTAATGTAGTTTCCTATCACTTCATTTGTTCCTTAACAGTCTTTAAATGTGTCATCATCACTAAGGTCACACCTATATAGAATAATAGCCTCATCTGTCCTAATTTTTATTGCTTAATACTCATTAATAATGTGGTGATAATATTAGTGTACTTAAATAATTTATATTGTGTTATCATGATACACTATTCTTTCCTGAGTGTTAAATTGTATCANATTATTTCAGCTCTATACTGATAAGTCTGACATTAATCAGTGAATAAGACAGTCTCTGTTGCTCCTCATCAGTCCACTACAACATACAGTTATACATAACTATACCATCACAGTGAGAGCTGGTAATGTACTAGGAGGGTCTGATCCTAGTTTAGTCAATAAAGGAACACTTGTATTTAAGTTTTAAGTCGTAATTATTATAATTCACACATGGTGTACAACTGTACATACCCATAATGATGGACCTCATCCTGGTTTTTTTGCTTTTATTACTACCAATTATTAATCTCACTTGGAATTGTTCTCAAAGTAGTTAATAGCCTAAGTACATGCTGTACAGGACATTATTATCAATAACGGCAGTATCACATATAATACCACCATTACCTACTGAGAGATATTATCATGTTGAATGATCTAGTATTTGATGAGTATAACATCAGTGTAGCTGTTGTCGATTCTATTTGAAGGTACCTAGCTGGTCCAGTTGGTTCGCTATCTATGTATTGTCCATAGGGAAAATGGGCTATTATTGTTAATGGACCCTAAAACTACCACAATCATGCATCAATTTGCTTCCAACATTGCTATTGCTCTGTTAATTGGTGTATTGTGCATTCTACAAACTGTCAGTGTTCTTATTCATAACATTGGCTTTATAAGGTACAGTTTACCAGTACATTTTATTTTTTTAGAAGGAAACATCCAAATACTATTAGCAAGCAAAAAAAGATAGTTTATTCTGATGATAACTGCAGGCCGGCTTGTGAACCAATATGAAATTAAAATGAAGGAGTATATTTTGAATGTCAAACATCACCGGAAGATATTTATAAATTATCCATTACCAGAATGAATTTTCTACAACAGCGTAATACTATCTGTTAGTTTGCCTGAAATAGAAAATACTGACGTAGTTTGTGTACACTGAACTCTTCCTCACATTTGCTTAATATTATATTAAGCATTATTATGCTAAATTTTGGAGTTGTTTTATGCAATTTGGATGTTGTGTTAGTATCATGTAATTTCTAAATTAGTATTGTCATAGTCAAAACTTGCTCATCATAACTATACGAGTGAAAACCAGTGGCATAGCCAGGGTTATGATGGTGGTAGGGCACACTATGGACAAGTGAACTTCACATACAATTTATAGACAAGAGAACAGTCAGAACACTATGACAGTTGGTAGGGCACAAGCATAGACTGGTAGGGCATGTGTCCCACTGTGCCCTACCCTGGCTACGCCACTGGTGAAAACAATAAACAAATGACATAATGCACCACAGTCACCGCATGTATACTCAGCAGTTTATCTCTGAAGATGGTTTCATCCCTATTATTGTCTACTGTCTTTTTGTTGAGTGTGAATAAAGTTATTAGTCAATGTCCACCTTCCTCAGGTAAGACACTGAATATGAGTATAACACCTCAATTGGTTTAATAGGTATTTATCTGAAGTATGATGGAAACTGTTATTCCA